CCCTTATGTCTTACAACGCCTGGACACCCTGTCACAGCTCCCTCTGGAGACTTACCTCCCTGGGGCCAGATTCACGAAAGCACTTACGCAAACACTTACGAACCTGTACATCTTTTGTCAATCTTTGGCGGCTTTGTTTACAATTATTAAACAGTTAATGAGCTCCGAAGCACCAGGAGGCTGTTTATAACAATAACAACAGTTGAATGGGAAGTTTTCATGCTTGTAAACGGATTAATAAATGTAACCAAAGCCGTCAAAGATTGAGGAAAGGTGTACACGTTCGTAAGTGCTTGCGTAAGTGCTTTCGTGAATCTAGCCCCTGGTCCACACCTCCACCACCCTGCGCTCTTGTTCACTCTCTCTGCCTCCCCTCCCTCACTCTCCCTCACACTCACCCTCACCCTCCCTCACCCTCACACTCTCCCATTCATCAGTTTTAACATATTAAATATTGAAAACAGGCATAAACTATTATCATACATAAACAAGGGGTTGGAGAGTGGGTTATCGAACATTTGGCCTTTGTTGATGAGGACGGACTGCATTTAGGCTTGATTCGAACAGAAGAAGAAAGGACAGCACTGTTCGATAAACGTTCGAACATTATCAGTTGTGAGTCATGAGTCACAACTCGTCCTCATCAACAAAGTGCAGATGCTCGTTAACTCAGGCGCCAAACTCACTGTTTATGAATGAAACAGTTTACACACGACTCACCACTGGTAACGTCGGGACAGTTCTCGAACAGTGCTTCGTTGACGACCGCTGTTCGAAATTGAAATTGAAATAAGTTTATTGAGGTAAAATACACACGAAGGGATGAGGTAGCTCAAGCTATTCTCACCCCGTTCAGTACATCGTGTTAATACATACATAGACACACATCACAAACAATAAATGTATTACCAAACATTCTGAGAGATAAACATATACATTTCCTGACCGCTGTTCGAACCACAACGCTGTAAATGCTTCACCCACGTACTACAAACACAAATAATCACCTAAACAGAACCTAAACACCTAACCTAACCTAATCTACACTTAGCTATACGTTTAAATTGATTATATAACCGGTTTGTTATAATTTATGTATTAATATTGTTAATACTCTGCTTGATTAAATTAGGATTATAAATTCAAATAAAAAATAAATTATAGTAATTTTTAATATGCAAAACGTTAAAATCGATCAATGCGTCTTGGGGACGGCCGCAGCTTTAACGAACCTGGCCTGAGGACGGGTTGTGTGTAAAATATTTATCGCTCGTGAACAAGGGATGAGGGTGGGATTAACGAGCATTTGACCGTTGTTTATGAGGACGGGCTGCAATCTAAGAACAATTTCTTAATAGTGTTGGTTTTCAGAGGTGTTTCCACATTACTACCGGCCCCATCTTTGTCTTACTGTACACAACGATTCAGTGGCTCGCAAGTTTTTATGTCTCGATTATTCTTTTCCAACCACCAGGTGCTCGATCATCACCTGTGGACCCCAACAGCCAACATGGGTCCAGCTAGTAAAATTGCAACTCGTTCTCGCACTTTCTTTAACCTATAACCTATACCTATAACCTATAACCTATAACCTATACCTATAATAGGTTAAGTAATAATTGTAATTACGAAGCAATAAGATGCTTATCTTTACATACTAAGAAGGTTAGGTAAGGTCGGTGTTTTCTATGAAGCTCTTCAAGGTAAACTAAAATATACACAATAAATTAGTATATTACATATGCACTTATTCAATAAGTCAATATTGACTATAAGAAAGTGCGAGAACGGGTTGTAAAATTGACTGCTGGCATATTGTTGTGGTTGTGTAACACACTCACTCACGCATTCTCTCTCTCTCTCTCTCCCTCTCCCTCCTTCACAACCCTTCCTTTTTTCATTTTTCTAGCCATTACCCCCCCCCCCACTCAGAACCACCCCACTCTCCATCACCCCTTCGGTTCCTCACCCTTCACAATATCTCCCTCCAACCACCACCAACACGGTTCACCATCTATTTTCCCTATCACACCGACACCTCCCCAGCTGATTAAGCCCTCCAAAAGGTGGCACGGGCATGAATAGCCCGTAGGTGGTGGCCCTTTTGAGCCATTACCAGTATCAAGAGCTGATACTGGAGATCTGTGGAGGTGCGACTGCACCCTGCGTGACGGGAGATGTCTCCGGTCACCTCCCAGCACCCTCTTCTCTTCCACATACTCCCTCCACAGAAGCCTCTCTCTCCCCTCTCCCTTTACACCCCCCCCTTCCCTCCCTCAACATCCGGAAGTGAGGGGACCTGGGAGGGGAGGGGACGGGGTGGGGGCTCTGGCGTGCCTGTCGGGGCGTGTAATTCGGGGGTAAATTTAACCAATTTTGGGAGCGGCGGCAAGACTGGAGCGTCTTAGAGAGCAACACTTAGAGCGGATGTCATCGTGTGGTGCCGTGAGTAAGTCGTGAGTCTCTGCTGGTGTACTCACCTATTGCACCCGCGGGATCTAGCAGTAGCTCTTGGATCCTGCTTGTCTAGTTGTGTACTGCAGTGATTCCTGGCCTATTTCCCTATCATATCTACTGTTAAAGCTATGGATGGAGTGTGCATATGCTACCTACTCCTTTAGTTCAATCCATTTTCCCATTAGTCTTACGAGAAAAGCAAAGTTTCTAACATCTCTGGCTCATCTGAGTCTGAAGCTTCCATCCATGTCACCTTGTTCTGTTGGTATTCATTGTGAACATTTCCTTTTTTTCCAATCTGTCAAACTCCCTCCCCCCCCCCGCCCCAAAGTATTTTATACATCTCTGTCATGTCTCAATGTCTCCACTCTCTCTCTCCTTTCTAGGGTCGTCAGTTTAGTTCCTTCGGTCTCTCTTCATATCCCATTTCGCACAATTATTGGACGAACCTCGTTGCAAACTTCTGAATCTTTTCTAGCTTCCTTATGTTTTTTTTTTTTTTTAGATTGGGGCTTCACGCTGGGGCGGCGTACTCTGAAAGTGGTACTCGCCTAGTTGTGCTTGCGGGGGTTGAACTCTGACTCTTTCGTCCTGCCTATCAACTATCAATCAACAGGTGTACAGATTCCTGAGCCTACTGCTCAAGGCACAGGAGCCTAGGCACAATCGAAGAACACTGTATAAACATCAGAGGTCCACGGTTGTTCAACATTCTCCCAACGAGCATAAGAAATATTGCCGGAACAACCGTGGACATCTTCAAGAGAAAACTATTTTTTTTCTAAAAGAAGTTCAGGACCAACCGGGCTGTGGTGGGGTATGTGGGCCTGCGGGCCGCTCCAAGCAACAGCCTGGTGGATCAAGCTCTCACAAGTCAAGCCTGGCCTCGGGCCGGGCTTTGGGAGTAGAAGAACTCCCAGAACCCCATCAAGCAGGTATCAAGCAGGTACTAGGCTCTATCATATCTACATTTGAAGCTGTGTATGGAGTCTGCCTCCACCACATCACTACCTAATGCATTCCATCTGTTAACTACTAACTGGTTTGTGTGTGTGTGTGTGTGTGTGTGTGTGTGTGTGTGTGTGTGTGTGTGTGTGTGTGTGTGTGTGTGTGTGTGTGTGGTGTGTGTGTGTGTGTGTGTGTGTGTGTGTGTGTGTGTGTGTGTGTGTGTGTGTGTGTGTGTGGTGTGTGTGTGTGTGTGTACTCACCTATATGTACTCACCTATATGTGCTTGCAGGATCGAGCATTGACTCTTGGATCCCGCCTTTCTAGCTATCGGTTGTTTACAGCAATGACTCCTGTCCCATTTCCCTATCATACCTAGTTTTAAAAGTATGAATAGTATTTGCTTCCACAACCTGTTCCCCAAGTGCATTCCATTTTTCTACTACTCTCACGCTAAAAGAAAACTTCCTAACATCTCTGTGACTCATCTGAGTTTCCAGTTTCCACCCATGTCCCCTCGTTCTGTTATTATAGTACGTGTGAACATTTCATCTATTTCCACTTTGTCAATTCCCCTGAGTATTTATATGTCCCTATCATATCTCCTGTGTGTGTGTGTGTGTGTGTGTGTGTGTGTGTGTGTGTGTGTGTGTGTGTGTGTGTGTGTGTGTGGTAAAACTAGCCAGTTTTACGACGGTCTAAAGCCAGCTCACGTTCCCTGTTGGTGGGAATCAATCTGGTGAATTCTCTTTCAGTATAATTAAGAAGCAATAAAATGCTTACCTTCAAACTCTTAAGAAGGTTAGCTTAAATCGTGGTTATCTATTCAGCTTTTCAGATAAACTCAAATATTCACAATATATTTGACAGTCCGGTTTAATACTAAGTGAAAATAAGTACACTTCCTGACTGCTATGAATAGTACATAATTGCACTTACATGTGCTGTTACATTTACCTCCCCATTTTTGGAGGACGGGCTGACCGCTTTATCTCAGCTTCTTTTATTGGTGCCTCCTCCCCCCCCATCCCTCAAGTCATCTTTATTGCCCCCTGGCACCTCATCACCGCCCCCCCCCCCACCACTACACCACCGGAGGAGAGCCTGGAACATAAGGTGGGCATGGCCTGTTAATGTGGCTGTTCTTACCTAGGTCGTGACACTACCCATATTGTCCTCTGTATTATGGCTCTGGACGCTCAGTTACCTTCCTAGATGTATATGCCTGTCTCTCTCTCTCTCTCTCTCCTCTCTCTCTATCTCTCTCTCTCTCGCTCTCTCTCTCTCTCTCCTCTCTCTCTCTCTCTCTCTGGTCTCTTTGGCTCTCTGTTTCTCTCTCTGTCTGTCTCTCTGTCTCTCTCCTCTCTCTCTCTCTCTCTCTCTCTCTCTGCTCTCTCTCTCTCTCTCACTCTCTCTCTCTCTCTCTCTCTCACTTCTCTCTCTCTCTCTCTCACTCTCTCTCTCCTCTCTCTCTCTCTCTCTGTTCCCCTGACAATTCCCTTCTATAACTTAAATAAATTAAGCTTATGCCTGTATATATATGTATCTATACACAGATTTGAAACCGTCCATTTTGTGTTTGGTGTCTCCCGTGCAGGCAGCAGTATTGTGAGTAGCAGCAACGTGAGCAGCACCAGCAGCACCACCACCACCACCAGCAGGAGCAGCCCCGGGTCTTCGTCAGCACCTGTTCGCGTGTCCAAGCTGGAGGATAATGATGAGAAGCGGCTCCTGGACGCCCTTATGAGGGGATATGATCGCGACGTAAGACCCGTCAGGAACGCCTCCCATCCCATCGTCATCCAGCTGGGCATCACCCTCACACAGATCTTTGATATGGTTAGTAGCGTCTGTGTCGTACTAGTTGATGTACACACATCAATTTCCACACACACAAACCAAATTCCAAACACTCACACACACACACGGTATTTCACTGATGTTCCCAGCTTTGGTTTTTAATGTATGATGGACACAACATCTGTCGGGCTGACTGGTGAAAGGAGAGAGTTTGGATAGCTGCCTGAGAGATATGTGTTAAATCCAGTGCTGGGAAGACGGGACACCACGAGCGTAGCTCTCATCCTGTAACTACACTTAGGTAATTACACACACACACACACACACACACACACACAAACAAATGCCTATCAGATTCATTTAAGCAACGTATGTAATAACCCACATATTTACAACGCGAGAACACTTTTCACTCTAGTCCCTTAACGCTTTACAAAGAACATTCTTTAGTGAATATCACCTTAAAAATAATCCTTCCACATAATCGTATTTATTGAGATATTCATAGTTTTAATATCTGTATGCATGGCTCTATTTATTAATTCATATCTTTAGCTTTCTCTTTAATACATATTTAATAGATATAAAAAGCTAGGCACTTGGAGACAATATATTATATATTGCTAATATGAGATGTGCGAGTCAGGGGTCTGGTTATATCTCAACGTACACCTAACGTAACTACAACCTGTTCCTTAGGTTATAACCACAACATTGCAGCAATGTTGTGGTTGTGTTGTATGTGTGTGTGGTGGGATATTATAAGCGCTTAGTATGTGTACATTAACCCGCGTGTCTCCACGCCTGCCGCAGGATGAGAAGAACCAGGTGCTGACTACTAACGTCTGGCTGGATCAGGTAAGATGACTACAGAGTTGGGTACATGGAGCGGCTCCAGGGTGAGGCTCCCTGGCCTAGAATGTTTGGGTTTATTGGTGTATTACACGCGAGCCTTGTGTGTGTGTGTGTGTGTGTGTGTGTGTGTGTGTGTGTGTGAGAGAGAGAGATAAATAAATTACTCTCCAATTTATACTGACGTATTTGAGGTCGAAGAATCAGTCTTCAACTGGGGACCCTCGCCGTATTTGCTCTGGGTCATCGATAGGGACTATATATAACCTTTGAAGACTTTAAGTGGAAGTAGCTTTTACCGTCCCAACTTGTGGTTCATTCCGAGGTCTCACAACATGCACACTAAGGAAATGTTTCCCTGAGATGTCACAGGATCATTGGTGTCTTCCATCCATGTTCTTTTCATGCTGAAAATTTCAATTTTTGTTTATTAAGCCCAAACAATCTAGAATGTCTTAATCATGTCATCTTTCTGTCTTCTCTTTTCCAGCTCCATTTCTCGCAACCCTTTTTTTCAATAATGAAATTTCATTCTCCAACCTCTGTAGTGTTTTCAGACAGGGACGTGTATGTGGGTGGTGTTCAAGTTCAAGTATGTTTATTGAGACAAGAAAAAAATATATCTCAAAGGGATAGAGTAGCTTAGGCTATTTCGTGTGTAATTTGATGAAAGACTTCTGATTCAGGCTTCTGAGGGCTGTTCCAATATTCCCCAGCTTCGTGTGTGTTGCTGATGTTCTTCTAGTGCATATGTGTTATAAGTTATTTGTTATTACCTGATCGTAATCGCAGGTAGAGCCGCTGCGTTGCGGCCTTCTTCCTGTATTGTATCATAAATATTGTTAAAACGTCCAGTTGTTTAGACACAACAGCCTCATCCTCAAGTTTCTTCCAGAACCCGTCACTTCCTGCACGTATATAAAGCAACGTAAAATACATATGGCTGCAACTCGATATATATTAACGGAGTGCGTGTCAGGTGTGTGGTGGAGGGGGGTAATAACTTAGAATTATTGAGCAGGTGTGTACCATCCTGGTCGAGATTCGAACACGTGTTCGATAAACGAAGAATATTGGGAAATATGCTTCCTCGTTTTTAAGAGCCTACTTTAAATGCGGAAACATCGCGGTGGCTATTTGGACAGATATTTTGAACATAAGAGCAAAGGAAACTGCAGATAGCCTATTTGGTCCACACGAGGCAGCGTCTAGCTGTATCCACAATAACGTCTCACTTGGACAGATATTCCCCGAACCACCTCACTTGGACAGATATCCCACCCAAGAGCCTCACTTGGACAGATATCCCACCCAAGTGCCTCACTTGGACAGATATCACGTCCAAGAGACTCACTTGGACAGATATCCCGCCCAAGAGACTCACTTGGACAGATATCCCGCCCAAGAGCCTCACTTGGACAGATATCCCACCCAAGAGCCTCACTTGGACAGATATCCCGCCCAAGAGCCTCACTTGGACAGATATCTCGTCCATCCCCAGTCGAAGACCTGTCTATCTACAGTATGAATTGTCAGTCGATTCCTCAATAATTTTCAAAACAAAATTCCACTCGAATTCTACTTCTTCACAACTTCACAACCAAAAGCGCGGGAAATCTGGTACAACTTCGCGGCCAAAAGCGCGGGAAATATGGTACAACTTCACAACCAAAAGCGCGGGAAATCTGGTACAGCTTCGCGGCCAAAAGCGCGGGAAATATGATACAACTTCACAACCAAAAGCGCGGGAAATCTGGTACAGCTTCGCGGCCAAAAGCGCGGGAATATGGTACAACTTCACAACCAAAAGCGCGGGAAATCTGGTACAGCTTCGCGGCCAAAAGCGCGGGAAATATGATACAACTTCACAACCAAAAGCGCGGGAAATACGGTACAACTTCGCGGCCAAAAGCGCGGGAATTATGGTACAGCCTCACCGTCAAAAGCGCGGGAAATATGACGCAGCTTCACGTGATTCTGACTTACGGATGGGTGGAAATAAGCCTACATATTTTCAGAAGGATTTATCTGTATTTAATATACCGATATAGGCTGCTTGTAATCTCTAAATTCTCTCCAGATTTTCCGAATTGGATGGAGTGTGAGTGCTGTTCTTCGAGCCTTGTTGTCTGTTCATGTTATTTCCTGTTCTCGAGAACATTTTTGATGAACTTATCATGATTTTTTTCCAAGGAATATAATTTCTCAATAATAATTGCACTGATCTAAATTTCTCTGTATTACCAATAAAGCAAATTCTTGGGTAATATTTGCTTTATTACATACATTACATATATGTAATGCATATATATAATACGTATACTACATATATGTAATACATATATGTAATACGTATACTACATATATGTCATACATATACTACATATATGTCATACATATACTACATATATGTCATTCATATACTACATATATGTCATACATATACTACATATATGTAATACATATACTACATATATTTATTACATATACTATCACTCTGGCGTACTACCACTTAATGTGCAGGAGTGATCGTTAGGCTAAATAGAAAATGTACATTTTATTTGAGAGAGAGAGAGAGAGAGAGAGAGAAGAGAGAGAGAGAGAGAGAGAGAGAGAGAGAGAGAGAGAGAGATTAGAAAATATATGCCTTTTAGCACGATGTTCTCATATAAAGTGTGACAGGTGTAAAAACTTTAGTGTTTGTAGTTAAGTGTTTATGTTGTACTTGTCAAAGTTCTCATTATCTTCTCACCTACAGTTTTGTTTACCTTATATTTAAATGATCAGTAACACTGCTCTTGTGTTAGATAAAGAGGTGCTAGAATATGCTGTTGTATGTGATGATATTGTTGGTGTATTAGAGTTTAGTAAAGTGTTGTGGTGGTGGACAGGAGTGGGTGGACGAACTCCTCAAGTGGGACAAGAACGACTACAACGGTTTGGAGACCATCAGACTGCCTTGTCAGAAGATATGGCTGCCAGACATTGTGCTCTATAACAAGTGAGTGGCTTCACTTTGTGTGTGTGTGTGTGTGGGTGTGTGTGTGTACTCACCTAATTGTGCTTGCGGGGGTTGAGCTTTGGCTCTTTGGTCCCGCCTCTCAACTGTCAATCAACTGGTGTACAGATTCCTGAGCCTACTGGGCTCTATCATATCTACATTTGAAACTGTGTATGGAGTCAGCCTCCACCACATCACTTCCTAGTATATTCCATTTACTAACTACTCTGACAGACTACTCTACAAACTGTGTGTGTGTGTGTGTGTGTGTGTGTGTGTGTGTGGTGTGTGTGTGTGTGTGTGTGTGTGTGTGTGTGTGTGTGTGCTCACCTAGATGTTGTTACATAGTTGAGCTAAGCTCCTAGCTCCACCTTCTGAACGTACTTAGATTAATGCAATCATTCATTTCTCATTCTTTTATCCTATTTACATTTACAAATTTTAACCGAATTAGCTTCAACGACCTCTACGTCTAACCTGTTATATTTATTGACAGCTCCAGCACTGACAGACATTCTTTCCAACGTCTCTGTAACTTATTTACATCTTTAGTTTTCATCTATGAGCTCTCGTTCTCCTGTTCCCAGCTTTGAACAGTGTTGCTTTCTCTACTTGGTTAATTTTCCATAGAATCAAGAATGTTTCTCAAGAATTGCATTCCCAAGAATGTTGTTATCATGTCCTCTCTATCTTTCCTGTCCTATAGTGTGGTAAGATCCAGTGCTCTCAGCCTTTCCTCATTGCTCAATCCCTTCATCTCAGGAACGAGTCTCATTGCATATCTTTGGACTTTTTCTAGTTTCTCCTTGTACTGGTAAGGGTTCCATGCTAGGGATGCAGATTTCAGAGTTGGTCTTACCTTCGTTGTATATAGGGCCCCAAAAGCCTCCTGGTCCAAGTTTCTGAAGGATTCCCATACGTTGGTTAGTATGTCATATGCAGCTGTTGTTATTCTGCTCATGTGGGCTTCTGGCATCAAATTTGGGATTATGTCCACTCCCAGGTCTCTCTCTGCTTTTCTTATTAAAGATTCTGTTTTCCCCTCATCCTATACTGCTGTACAGGTCTTCGCACCCCTGTTCCAGTCTTCATAATTTTGCATGTGATTATGTTTAATTCTTTCCTGTCATTTTTCAGACCACTTTCTGAAGTGTGTCCAAATCCATTTGCAATGTATCACAATTTATTGCTGTCCTGACTCTTCTTATTGGTTTTGTATCATCTGCAAGTATTGATATGACAGAGCCAATTTCCTGCCAGGTCATTGACACAGAAAAAGGATGGGCCCTAGAACCTACCCTTGTGGTACTCCACACGTGACCTCTCTCTCTCCCCTTTGATGGCTCTGCTCTCACTAAAAACCCTTTGCTTCCTACCTGAGAGATACTCTCAGCTTAGGACTCTTCCCGATACACCAGCCTGCTTCTCTAGTTTGAGTAGGAGTCTTTCATACGGGACCATATCAAATGCTTTCTGACAGTCGAGGAATATGCAGTCTGCCCATTTCTCCCTCTCTTGTTTGATTTTTGTCATCTTGTTGTAGAACTCTGGAAACTATGCCGAGCAGGGTTTACCTTAACTAAAACCGTGCTGGTGCCTTGAGACAAAATGTATGTTTTAAATGTTCTACTGGCCTGCTTCGGGTCAGTTTCTCTAGCAACTTGCAGGGATACTTTTTAGTGATACAGGTCTGTAGTTTAACGGTGTCTGTCTTCCCCCTTTCTTGTAGATTGGTACCACATTACCTATTTTTCAACAGTCAGGAAGTTCTCTCGTTTCTTGAGAGGAATTAAATAGCATGGCAATTGAGCTACACACTGCTTCAGCTGCCTTTTTTAGTACCCATGACGATATTTTGTCTGGTCCCACTGTTTTTGTCCCATCCATTTCCTGTAGTATATATGTGACTATATGAATTGGTTGCGCCCTGGAGAGGCCACTCCGGACAGACAACCAGACCGCAACTCCATAGTCTCCTGAGACTGATGGATGCCTACTATGAACGTTGTACTCACCTAGTTGTGCTTGCCGGGGGTTGAGCTCTGGCTCTTTGGTCCCACCTCTCAACCGTCAATCAACAGGTGTACAGGTTCCTGAGCCTGTGTGTTGTGAGGTTGTGTGTATGTGTGTGTGTCTGTGAAAATATCTCTCACAGGTCTCGTTTTTAACCCAACATAATTTGTGTGTGGGCAGCGCTGACGACTACACGAGGGGTTACATGCAGAGCAAAGCTATGGTGGGGTACGAAGGCAAGGTCTTCTGGCCTCCGCCTACCAAATTCCGCTCCACCTGCCCCGTCGACGTCACCTACTTTCCCTTCGACGACCAGACTTGTATCCTCAAACTCGGTTCCTGGATTTATGACGGCTTTCAGGTAAGTCTCTCCGAGGGGCATGGGCAAGGGGAAGTGTAAGTGGGGGCAGGGGAGGGGATTGTTGCTGGGGGGAGGGGGTTCATGATAATGGATATGGTCTGAGGAATGTATATGGCACTCTGAGCCTTTGAGTGACACCACAGAGCTGCTGACCCTAGAGTGACACCACAGAGCTGCTGACCCTAGAGTGACACCACAGAGCTGCTGACCCTAGTATGATGTCCCTGGGCGGCAGACAAAACCCTTAGGCTGTTGACCATACGTCTTTCCTAACCTGCCGACGCTGGGAGGCGAAGTTGATGGCCGTGTTGTGGCTCATGGCCGATGTTGACGCTGATGAAGCAGTCAAGCAGCGAGCCCCTGGCTCCCCCGTCCCTCGTCATCCGCTCGTAGCGGTGGAGTGAGGGTCGCCCCTAGCTCCCCCTTGTCCCTCAGAGGGGTGGACGAGCCAGGGGCGTCCTCACCAACACCGCCGTACATCTGGCCGGGTGTCGGCGTCGCGCGCTGAAGGTTTTGTCAGATATATTTGCCGTAAATGGTACTATATCTTAACACTCACAGGAAACGTCGCTCCTTCCCTCCCTCCACGGGTGAAGACGACCGACTTGCAAGAGGAGTTCTGGTTTTCTCACCTTGCTGTGAGTGAATGATAGTAAAGATGTTAACACTTTATTCCCCAATATAAATCACGTTTGCAGGCGGTGAGTCACAATAACGTGGCTAAAGTATGTTGACCAGACCACACACTAGAATGTGAAGGGACGACGACGTTTCGGTCCGTCCTGGACCATTTTCAAGTCGATTGTGAATGTGACAGTCGACTTGAGAATGGTCCAGGACGGACCGAAACGTCGTCGTCCCTTCACCTTCTAGTGTGTGGTCTGGTCTACATCACGTTTCAATTCGTAAACAAAATGTTAATCACTTTATGCCCCCCAAAAAAGATTGACTTTGACTACTGTGGACCTGTTTAGTCCAGTCTTTATTGTAATGACATGTATATGTGTTAAGAAAAACGTTTCTGTGTAATACTCTTTCAACGACCGGAAGTGTGTGTGTGTGTGTGTGTGTGTGCAGTCCTCTGAAGGGTCTTTTTTCGGCGGGAAATCCGTATTTTGTATTATTAATTATTTTTGAATTTGGAGCAACTTAATAATTTGCTGCATCTCACTCCTAAATATTGTGATGGATCTCTGTGTTGTTGCCTTTATTGGTATTATCTTCAACTAATATTTTAGAACCACTCCAGCTTGCCCAAGATTGATGCCCTTATCTTCATCTTACAAAATATTGATACCTTGTCTTCATCTTGCAAAATATTGATGCAATTACCTTCAATATGCACAAGACTAATGCACTGACCTTCATCTTGGCCAAGATTGATTGTACAAGGTGAAGAGAAGACAGTAAATTATGAGAAGGTAGCATTAAGCCAGTTGGAATATGAGGACGGGTCTGGGAACCGGGCCTGGGATGAAGGGAAGAAGCGAGTCCCAGTATGGAAAACCTGAACTCGTCACCAGCTTGCAAAACTACACAAAGTTCGGAGGTTACAAAGAAAGAATGAGAGAATTATATTCGTAACGCTGGTAAAGGGGGGGGGAGGGAAAGAGGAGACATGTTTCCGACATATAAGTTTCTTCAAGGGCAACAATCCGTCCGGACAAAC